ATGATGTAGAGTGTGCCTAAGGAGAGTCAAATGGAGAGAAAGCACTCTCTCGGGCTTTCACAGAGCGCACACTCGCCAAGCAATGGCCGTGACTCGTCCACATGGCTGACACTGACAAACGTTCTACAATCCGAGGTACAGAATTTCAGCATAAATCCTGAGAGGATTTCACTGACCTTATCAGACCCAAAAGCTACAACTCTTATTGCGTAGGTCCTGCTTTACCTTGATCTTAACCATCCAGCAGAAAAGTAAAAAAATGAAGTATAAGAAGTAAAGCCATGGTGTTATGTTGAGCTATAGGAGACTCAGGTCAACAATTTCTGACATTGCCAGTGAAGTGGAAGACCCAGTACTATTTTTTTTAATTATTTATTTATTTTTATTTATTACATTTATTTATTGTGTGTGTTGCCAGCTCAGCCCACCAGGGGGTGGGGCTGGCTGGCATGTGGTGCTGGGGATTGAACCGCAGTCCCTGTGCTTTGCCAAGCTTGTTTCAAGTAGGTGCTTTAGACCACTGAGCCATCTCTCCAGCCCAGACCCAGTACTATTATAGATTACTGGACTCTTTTAGAATATTTTGCTGAGTTTACACACCTATAATCTTTAAATGATGGAACTTAACCAAAAAAAGGGGATACAGATGAATGTCCATTTTGTATCTGTGTATTCAAAATGGTTAGGATAGATATATAGTTGCATTCTCTTAATGAATAGAGGGATTTGTTCTAATAGTGTTTGTAAATAGGATGTCATGTCCGCATCTTGTACAGCAATTAACTCCTAGGAAAAATGTATGCAAGGTGTTATTGAAACTGTCCTACCAATTTTGTTTGAAACTGTGTCATTGCTATTTGTTTCTCAATAAAATTATGGAAAAAAAAAATAAACAGAAATTACAGGTAGGTCAGCATTATCTGTGAAAATTCCTCAAATAACCCAAGCAATATATAGTATTCTTATCAAAAAGCTCAGCACAAAGGGCCAGCCTGATAGCTCAGCGGACTAAAGCATCTGCTTCAACAGAGCACAGTGGCCAGGGATCGATCCCTGTGGTGCTATGCCGGCCCTGCACGCTGAGACAGTGATTGAAACAGTGTGGTGGTGCATGCCTGTACTCCCATCACTTGGAAGGCTGAAAACAGGAGAGTCACTACGAATCCCATTTATATAGTGAGACCCAGTAGACCCTGTAAACCCTGTCCTAAGTAAAGGAAAAAAAAAAAAGCTCAACACAACTTTTTCTCCACCTTTGGGACAAATAATAATTTCTTTGGTTAAAAATCATGTTATCTTAACAGTGAAGTGCCTTATTGTCATTGTTCTTAGCACGTTGCAAATATATGCATGAAAGAGATGTGTAAGACTTGAGTCTAGGAGGGCTGGGGATATAGTTCAATGGCAAGCGCATGGTCCCAGGTTAAATCCCCAGTACCACAAAATAAATAAATAAAGATTTGAGTCTAAGGGAATGGTAGATTAATGTCTCTTGTCTCAGAGCTTGGACAAATGCTCACTGAATGGAACGGCAAACATTTTGAACTAGTTAAATTATGCCTATTGTGCGCATCAGTCTCTTACTGCCTGCCTTACTATTTAACACATTTGTTAAGCATAATATATGCCAAAGAAATGAGACAAGCAGTTTATTCTCTCTGGAATTTGCATTGTGGTAGTAGGAGAGAGATTACATAATATCTGAATATGTATGTATGGTAGCTGGTAGTACATACAGCAGGAAGAAAATACAGGAGTATAGAGAAAAAACTTAGAGGTGATTACTGCTTTTATATGAGGTAATACAAGAGGACCTCTCTGCAGGTGGTAAGGAATGAAGTCATGTGGCTATGTGGGAGAAAAAATTGCACACAGAGGGAAGAATAAATAGGTAGTGAGATGAACATATATTCATACCCAGAGAGTTCAGAAAATACCAAGATTAGTGTGGAGTACAGTAAATAAGAGAAAAAGAAGTAGGTGAGGTTGTAGCAATAAAAAACAAACCAGATTGTGTGCGTCCTTGTAAATTGGGATTCTGGAATGTTAATGGAAATCCATTGAAAGATTTAAACATGAGAAAGATCTGTAATACTTTTAAAATTATTCTGTCAACTATGGCAAGATTTGACTAAAGGAGGGATAAATGGTGATAAAAGGAAGATAGGAGCCTGTTAGAAGAATTCACATGAATAACTTTAGACTAGTATGGATGATAGCAATGGTTGGAGATGATAAGTGGCTATAATAATTTTATTTTTAAATTTTATTTATGTGGGGGGGGGCAGCTCAGCCCACCAGGGGGCGGGGCTGGCTGGCATGTGGTGCTGGGGGATTGAACCGTGGTCCCTGTACTTTGCTAAGCTTGTTCTAAGTAGGTGCTTTAGACCACTGAGCCATCTCACCAGCCCCATGGCTATAATAATTTTATGAAGGCATCACTGATGTTTTCTTAATGGGTTAAATGTAGGATGTGAAAGATTTTAGAGTAACCATATTTTTTTTTCCATTTTATGTATTTGGTACATATTTTTCCATTTTATGTATTTGGTCTCACTACATAGCTTGGATTCATAGTGATCCCGTTTTCAGCCTCCTCAGTGCTGGGAAAACAGGCATGCTCCATGCAGCCTGGACTCAGTCATTGGCTCAGCATACCCTGGGGGCGCAGCTAGCATGGCATGTATCCCTGGTTCCTGTGCTTGCTAAAGCAGGTGCTTAGTCCACTGAGCTATCTCACCGGCCTGAGATTTTTTTTTTTTTTTTGTCCTGAACAGCTATAAGAATGAATTTTCCAGGCTGGGGAGATACCTCAGTAGAAAAAGTGCTTGCCTGGCAAGCTCAAGGTCCTGAGTTTAATCCCCAGTATCACACAAAAAAATGCAGATTCCTGTATACTGAGATATTTGAAGACTCGAGGGAACAGATTTTTTACCTTCACACACACACACACACACACACACACACACACACACACACACAAAGTGGATGAAAGGAATTCTGCAGTTGTTTTATTCATGTTGATTTGAAATGCTTAAGGAACATGTAGAGATGTCAAGTAGACATTCATATGGCTGCTATTGAAAGCCACAAAACTGGGTGATATATAGGTAAAGATTTCTGGGCACTGTACACTAGGAAATTTCCTTTGTTCATATCGTGCAGTCTATTTCTTAGCTGTATTTTCTTTTTCCCCCTCACTCAAGTATGTATTATGTTGACTGTACCTATATGGTCCAGTGTACCACACTTTTAAAATAGTCTGAAAATGAAACTAAAACAGTAAAAACATTTTACTTATATATTACTTTGAACATTATAGACAATTTTTATTCTTTACATGATAGCTGTGTACTACTAACTGCTCAGTATTTTTTTTTACTATTTTCTTACCCATTACCTCATTTTGGTTTTGCAAAATAAATGATGTTTTATAGGGACACAGCTTTAGAGAAAACGTTTTCAGGTGGGTATGATGGCACACACTTGTAACCCTAGCTCTTTGGAGGCTGAGGCAGGATTTCTGAGTTCGAGCCCAGCCTGGACTACATGGTGGGTTAAATTATATAGCCTAAATTATATAGTGAGACCTTGTCTCAAAAAGGAAAGAAAAAAGGGGGGGGAACCATGCCATAAATTTACATAAATTTTTTTTCATATTCTTTAAATATAAAGTATTTTATTTAAAGCTTACATGTAAAGGTTGCAATTATAGTTAGTGAAAATAGTGCTGAGGATAGTGATACTTTTTTCTTGGGATTTATTTCACACTGGTAAAGTATAACAGGCCTGCACTTGAGGAGTGAGTAGATCAGGAATAGTCCTCTTTATTCCTCCTTGTGACTGCTACTAATATTGTACACTCTAAGCACAAGTGTCTCTAAATTTAAACTAAATAAATTAGACAATCAGCTTCTCAGTTTGCCTCCTGATATTTAATGTACTGATTCACTGCTTGAGGCTAATGGATACCATAATGGACAGTTTGGCTATAGAATTTGTCACTGCAGAAATTCTGTTGGAGGAGCCGGGGAGATAGTTCAGTGGAATAAGCACTTGCCTGGCAAGCGCAAGGACCTGAGTTCAATCCCTAGTTCCACGAAAAAAAAAAAGAAATTCTGTTGGATGAGTGTTTTAAACCACTCTAACAAGAAGTCAGGTTTATTTTTACCAACTTGTGAATCAAATGGAAATAGCAAAAACTATAATGAATTTATTTTTTCTAAGGATAATAATAAAGCATAGCTGATTTTCATTATGTTTTCAGTAGTTTATTACTTTAAATTTATAATTAAAAGAACTCTCACACCATAGACAGGTCTTTTTCTTATTCTGTTCTAATTAAAATTAGATCCTAATTGATGATTTTATGTTGGATGCCTATAGGGCAACATACTTTCAAAACTCAAAACTAATACTAATGCAATGAGTGCTTTTAAAACATAAAAGAAGAGCTGGGTGTGTTGGCACATAAGTATAATGCCAGTTTCTCAAGAGGCTTAGGCAGGATCCCCAAGTTCTAGGCTGGCCTGAGCAACTTAATAAGAGCCTACCACAAACATCCTTATATAAAAATGAAGAGATGGAGAAGAGAGAAAGGTGAAGATATAGCTCAGTGGTGGAGTGCTTAGTTGGCGTGTGTGAAGCCCTGAGTTCAATTCTCAGTGTAGTAAAAAAATAATGGCTAGAGCTTTAGCTTCGTGCAAGGCCCTGGGTTCAATCCTCAGCATAAAAAAGGAAAGAATATTTTAGTTATTATTTATGATGGGAAATAGTTAAAATCTAGTTTTAAGTAACTTAGATATGAGAATTAAGAGCAGTTTCAGGTCCCAAAATAAATGGTGGCTAAAGTTACTATTTCTGTTATGTTCCTATAAACAGAAAAAGGGAATTCATCGTTGTTCAAAATGCAGATTACAGTTTTTGACCTGCAAGGAAAAAACAGATCACAAGGCACAACATCGTACATTTATAAAGCCTAAAGAATTGGAAGGATTGCCTCCTGGAACAAAAGTAAGTGTTAAGTATGTTGTATTTTAATATTTTTATAATATAAATCCTGCCTCATTTCATCTACTGAATGTAATCTTAAAAAATGACTTTTGTTATTAACATAATTTTAGTTTTGTCATTCTTATTCATGAAAAGAAAAACTTCTAATCATTGTTTTGTGCGTGTGCACGTGTGCGTGCGTGCGTGCGTGCGTGCGTGTGTGTGTGTGTGTGTGTGTTTGTTTGTTTAAAATAATGGAGATTGATCCCAGGACCTTTATACTGAGCTACTGCCTCAGCCTTTCTTTTTTTTTGGCCTTTTTAAAAAATTCTAATTCACCCTACCATACACATTAATTTTGTCTTTCATTGTCTTTTAGTTTTCTACAATTTCCAAATTATGCCTGTATTTAATGCTGCTTAAACCTGCAAAACACATTAACTGACTGTTCTCCTAAATCTAAGGATTATATAGTTTTAGCATATATATATATATATATCTAAAATATATATATCATATTATTGTAAAAATTTGGCAAAACCGAGTAAGCATGTCTTGTTTTAAGTCCATGCTCCTTCCACTGTTTATAAAATCTGATTTAATGATCAAAACTTCTTTGTTGTCCCTCTTCAGGTACAGCAGTCTTCCTTCTGAATTGCCACTCACCATATATATAACAAGCAATAGAAAAACCAAAGAAATCATGTAAATCTTAGTGCTTAACTTTGACACTTGTAAAAGGTGAACCATTTTTAAAAAATGAAAAAAATACATCCAAAATCAATACATTCAAATGAGCTGAGTTCCTGAAGGTAATCATTTTGGAAGGCCCAGTTCAGTCTTTTAGCTATACTGCCATTCCACAAAACACCTTTCAGTTTTGGGGGAGATTGCCCTCAAAGCTTAAGTGTTATGCTTTCTGCATTACCTCAAAATTAGATTTGATTTTTGGGAACTGTCACCTGCTGCCAAATACTGGCATTGCTGTTTCTGTTTTTTTTATTTATTTTTTCATTGCTGTTTTTTAAAAAAAAAACAAAAAAAAAAAAACGTGTAATCAAGAAGTTAGTAATTTGTGTTTCTTAAATTAACTGTGAATGTAATTCCAAAAGAGTAAACCCATGAGGTTTTGGGTGATGGTAGATTGCTAGCATTAGAAAACAACCTTCCAGCATGGTCACTAGCAGGATAACATTCACTTAGCTTGTCAATGTTCTGGCATATTTGTTTAAAGTGATGTTCTGAAAGTTAAACTATTCTTTTCAAAAGGAATATCATTCTTTAAAAAAATTTATATCTTTAAAGCATCACTGTCAAAGTATTTTGTTAGAAAGTTCTCCTTTATTGATAAAGACTACTTAAAAAAATCTTGAAAACAAGTAACTTACTTGCTTCCAAGCTTTTCAGTCATTAACTGAAGATAATGTAATTTGAAATTACACATCAAGAACCTAACTGTAATTTCTGAGGTGCACTGGTTTTTGTGCTGGATACATTTGAATTTCCAAAACATATTTTTCTTTAAATATGTTTATTTAAAAGCAACTATACTTTCACTTCATAATAAGAAATGGAAACAAAAAATGTCTGTAATGGGTATTAAAATATAAAAGCGATAAATCTCACCACAAATTTACAAGACCTATATATAGAAAACCAGAAAACATTACAGATATACTAAAATTTTCAAGAAACAAAATTAAGGTTAAACACTTGAAGATAACAGTTTTCTTTGAAAATCAAAAAAACTTTGGAAGGCTAACATGACATTATTGCCAGAATTAATATACATTTATAATATCTTATTTACTTTTTCAGCCTCTCACGCTAGGAAGACAATGTGATGCTTGCACATGAATCTGATTTATTTCACTTTGTCAATTCCACTTGCATTCATATACCTATAAAAGTTCTATAGTTTAACATTTTTTGTGGCTGAATAATACTCTTGTCTAATTGCTCTGGCTAAGGTTTCCAAAACTATGTTGAATAAAAATATAGTGAACATCCTTGTCTTATTTCTGTTTTTAGAGTGAAAGCTTGTAGTTTTTGTCTATGTAATATTATTATATTTGCTGTTGGTTTGTCATAGATGGCTTTTACCAGATTGAGATAAAGACCATTTCAGTTTTCTAAAAGGTTTTTATTATTAATGCGTGCTGGACTTTGTCAGAACCTTTTTCTGCAACCTGGTATGGTACACATCTGTCTCAGTTATTCATCTCTCTTGCTGGGACAAATACTGACACCCAAAATGAAGGCAGGAAAGGTTTATTTAGCTCACGGTTATTGGAAGTTTCAGTCCATACTCGGCTGGCTCCAAGGCACACTGGTACATGGCAGAGGGCAGCAGTTCATGATGGCGGAAGACAGACAAACAGCAAGAGTAATAAAAGAGGAGTAACAGCAACAATGGCTACAGAGAGCAAGTCTGTCTCTCTGTCTCTCTTACATTACATTCAATCTATCTGCCCCAGGCTGGGTTTAGCACTCACACCCATAGTTCCAGCAGTACTCAGACCCATAAATTCCAGCCTTGGATCATGAATTAATCACAAACTGAAGAACTGTATTTCAATGACTGCATGAGGCTTTGGAGGGGGGACAAATACAAACCATAACATCCACCCTTGAACCCCCAAAGACTCATGTACATCCCTTTATGCAAAACACATTTTAGTCTCTCTTAAGAGTTGCTGAAGTCCCAACAGTTTCAGCATTGCTGAAAAGTCCCACGTCCCAAGTCTCCTTCAAGATCTAAGGCAAACTTAGCTGTGAGCCCCTGTACAAAAGGAAAGTTAAACACTTCAACATTCAAAGGCACAGGATATTACTGTTCTAAAAGTTGCAAACAACAGGAATACAAAGCATTGGGACCAACATGAATACAAAATCCAGCAGGGAAAACATTAAATCCTCTATTTCATGTTGAATATCCGAAGCAATCTGTGGCAAATTGTGAGCTCCATGTGGCTCCACCCCTATGGCACTTTTGGTGTTAGCTCCCATGGCTTCTCTCTTAGGCTGGCTTTGCTCCCTCCTTGCAGTTTCCCTTAGATGATCCATGTTCCTGGCTTTTCCAGATTTCTGGGGTTTCCACTGTACATTAAACTTCTCACTCTGCTTTACCCACAACCCTCTCATGGGCATACCACCTGGACTCCCAGGCCTTCTGAAATCAAGGTAGAAGCCACCTTAACCTCAGAACTCCAGCATTGTGTAAGCATGTAAAACCAATGCCACATGGATGATGTGAAGGTCTGCTGCCAGCTTGAGCAGTAGCCAGGCTTTCTTCTCTCTTGGCTGTAGGGGTTAAGTGCCTGGATCACTGAGCACTCTGACCCTGACTGTTAGGAACAAATTCTCAATGCTGGCGCCATTCTGGAACTGGGTGTTGCTGTCACCTGCATTCTATATCATGGCACTCTGCAGCTTTCTCCTCAAAGAAAAGTTCTTTTCCCTTGCAATTCTGAGGCTGCAAAGGGTCAAGACCTGCTGCCTCCAGTGATACCTTGAGGCCATCCTTTCAATTTTCTTGACCCTTCTTGGCAATGGAGATCCTTTCAGCTCTATCTTTGCATTCCACGGCTTTATTGGAGCTTCCTTTCTGGCCAAACTCACAACATTTTAAATCATCTTGCTGGGCTTAAAGTTCTTGATTCTCAGCATAAATCTGGCTAAAAGCCCTCAACAACAGCCATGCTACTGCCTCAATATTTGGCTGCTTTGTAATATCTTTTGAAAGATTAATCAGTCTGCCATGCTTAATCTCAGTCTGAGGCAAAGTCTCTGGACATTTGCAAAATGCAGACAAACTTTTCTGCCAAGCCAAAACAAGGGATCTGGAGTCCAACAACCAATTCAGTCCTTCCCAGTAGAAACTTCCCCAGCCTGGTCTTTATAGGCAGGCTGTCAGCCTTCTGGTCTTCTGCGCCTTGACCAGAATCTCCCATAGAGAACAGCTGAAGCTGTTCCAGCACTTCACCTACAGGTGATATCGTCAGACCTTGCCTATCTCTTCCCATAAGCCATTCCCAAAAGTTTGTAATCCACATGGTCAGGGTTAGCCACAGCAACGACCCCACTCCTCTGGTACCAAATTCTGTCTCAGCTACTCTTCTCTCATTGCTGGGACAAATAAATTCCAAAATGAAGGAAGGAAAGGTTTATTTAGCTCACCGTTACTGGAAGTTCCAGTCCATACTCAGCTGGCTCTAAGGCAAACTGGTATATGGTAAAGGGCAGCAGTTCATGGTGGCAAAAGACAGAAATACAGGAAGAGCAAAAGGGAGGAGTAACAGCAACAATGGCTACAGAGAGCAAGTCTGCCTCTCTGTCTCCTGTTACCTTCAGGCTCTCTGCCCCAGGCTGGGTGTAGCACTCACACCCATAGTTCCAGCATTACTCAGACCCATAATCCCAGCTTCTGATCATGAATCAGTCACAAACTGTAGAATTCACGTCACTGACTGCATGAGGCTTTGAGGGGACAAATACACACAAACCATAACAATGCCTGTAATCCCTGCACTCAACAGGCAGAGGCAGGAGGATCGTTGTAAGTTTGAGACCAGCCTGGGCAACAAAATGAGCTCAAGGCCAGCCTGAACTGCATAGTGAGACCCTATCTCAAAAAGACAAAAACCTTTTCTGCATATATTGAGATGATACAGTTTTTTTCCCTTGGTTCTGTTAATGTGGTATACTACATTTATTGATTTATGTATGTTGAAACATCCCTGCATCGTTGGGATGAATACCACTTGGTCATGGTGTATAATATATACTTGATTTTCTACGTTGTTTGCTAGTACCTTATTGAGCATTTGCATCTATATTCATTAGGGAAAGTGGCCTGTAGTTCTCTTTTTTACTTGGGTCCTTTAGTTGAATCCTTCTCATTGCCCTGGTATCAGGGTAATGCTTGCTTCCAAGAATGAATCTGAGCGTAATGCCTCCTTTTTAATTTCATTAGAGTTTAAAAAGTAGTAGTATTAGGTCTCCTCTAACTTTGTTATAGA